CAAAATATGGGAAAGCTTCTCATTGTTCAAGCATGTTTTCTGGGCTCTATTCCTGGACTCCAAAGAGATAAGTGGAAAACATTGCCTTATATAAATGGTGGACTCAACCTCTTCCAGCCAAATGAGCTGTTTTCTGTTCACTCAGGAAGCAGTACAAGGAGGGACCACCTCAGCCAAATCTGGGCAGCAGAGGGGCTGAGATACTAAGGATCAATAGTCCAGAAGTAAAGCCTCTTAAACACTGCAGTCTGATGTTTTTTCACAGGGAATTTGATTTTTTTTTTCCCTCAAGAACTGAGCAAATCCCTGTGTTACTGATGATACAGCACAGAAATGATTCTTTGGAGCTTGGTCCACAAAAAGTTGGATAACTATTCTTTTGGATAAGTTTCCAGTTATGAAACATTACAATGCAGAAAGTGAGGCACAGAGCACGTGAAACACTGAGCTAAAAACGCCCAGGAAAGCAGATACAGAGACGGAGGTGATAAAACAATTCAACTAAAACCTACGTTGCCAGGCTCCTGCTGTTTCCAGTGGCTTGAGGTATGAAAAACCTCTGAGAGGAGAAAGGAACTCTCTCTTCCTTCTCGAATGTATTTATTCAGTTTAGTAAGCCGAGCATCCTACTACAGAAAACCTCCAAATGGTTGAAGAACATAAAGCTGTGAGGGGAGGTAAACATCTGAGAACCATGTCAAATCCCTCCCCAAGTGCCCATCGCCAGGTGTATCTGAGCACTGGTTGGCAACAATAACCACCAAAGGATGTTACTGATGGGCTTTGTGGAAGTGTGATAATGAGCTGTAGATAAGAGGTGTGGGGACATCTGTTAGTAGACACCAGGCTGGGGTGGGCATGGTACTGAATGTTAAATACAATTCCAGAATTTTTTATTAGCGACAGAACAAGTTCAGATTTTACACTGAGACTATGTGGTCCTTTTATTAAATGTTAACCAGGAAAAAAAAATATTTTAATTTTATTCCCTCTCCATTTCTTTTCTCCTGACTTTTGCATTTCTCTCTTTTGAACAATGACCCATCTACCTTCAATTAGTTGGAAAATTCTCTAACTTTGAGTCTCCCAACAGGATTAGACCTGCTAAGAGTAACTAGTGTTTTCTATCTGATAAATAAGGGGATTACAGCAATAACTGCTGTCAGCATTTTTCTCATTTAAACAAATAAAGCTGACAAATGATGAAGTTCTGTGCTGCTCTGTTATGTTTAGTACATGCAGAGCAATTATTCATCGGCTGCCAACATTAGTCTATCTACAACTAAACCATCCAACAGCGTAGAAAGCTTATTAGCATATCAGTACCATAGTCATATTTTTATATTCTGTAAGACTCTACTCCATAACAAAAGCTGATGGGTATAATTTGCACAATAATTTAAAGGGTTGGACTTTTCCATGCTTATTAAAGTTATGCAAGTTATCGGGTACAATGCAACTCTTATTTATGAGATGCCATCTTTTATTTGCTTGGAATTTTTGTGCCTCTATAGCATTTCCTAGAACAAGTTAGCTGCCATCTATGGAGGTGGAGAAGTAGATGACTGTCTCTGCTTGCAGCAAGGGAGGATAAACTTCAGTGGAGTGGGGGAGAGGACGGGGGAGTGCTTTCTTTAAATAGAGGTGGTTTTCTTAGCTGTTTCTCCTGTGTGGTTATGGACATATACAAACCTACCTATGTGTATGTACATACACACTCATATACATATGTAAGTATTTGTGTGAGTGTTTCTAATAAGGGAAATGAGAATTTAAGAACGAATGTACTGTTTTCAAAAAAAAGTCAACTTATTCTAATAGTTCTTGTGTTATATTAATGAAAATATAATAGATACAAAGTATTCATAATTTTCCAAGTGTTCTAAAAGGGACAGTGACAAAACTAAAGACCTCATGTAAGAAGAAGGCCTAATCCAGACAGATGATATACTTTTTATAGGATGGTCATGTTGCTTGCAGCCTACCATCTTGATGCTACTTATAACAAAATATATACCAAGCTTGAGAGCAGTTGTTTTATTCATTTTGTTTTCTGATCCCGTAGGGAACTCTCGGAGCCATTTTGAGGTGGTATATTTGTTTTCATTTCCAACTTAGAGGAAATTGGTAGCTTAAATATAAGACGGAAAATGAAAAAAAAAAAAAAAAAAAAAAGGAGGGTTCTTCATTAGCTTGAACACATTTTTGTCCTTTCAAGATTATAGCACACTTCTTTGGGTAGACCCTGCTTCCCAAAGTGTTGATATATTCTGTCTCAAAGGTCTCCCTGTCCTGCAGATGTGGCCAAGTGTCCTTGCCCTCTACTTTCATTTTTCTTTTCTTTTTTTTTTTAAGTGCTAGATACTGAGCCCATGGCTTTGTGCATGCTAGGCAAGCATTTTAATACTGAGCTACACCCCCAGCTCTTTGAGTGCAAGGAAATAAAAAAGCAGCAGCAACAACAATAACAACATCACCTCCAAAGGTTCTTTCCTTCTTTTCAGTGGAGGAAATGGCTTTCAAAACTGTCATATCTCTGACGAGGAAAATGCAGTACTTGTGCACTTTCCATTTCAAAGAGGGAAAATGAGAATTATCAAGTGGCCATCAGGATGAGTTTCTGTGTGTGGGTACCTCCTACAAATATAGAAAGTTTACCTCAAATTGCACAGGGTGATTTACGTGGCCATAACTGTCTCTAATCACACACTATGAATAGCATATTATTGGTTGGATGGAAAGGCTGTCTCCCCCGCCTGACTAATCCATTCTTGTTCTTTAATACCCAAGACAAGATCATGTTCCACCTCTTCCACTGGGAGTCCTTGGCTAATTTTGATCATACTGATGCTTCTGGCCCTTGCATTCTTTGTGACACTTAAAGAGAAAGTATAGGCAATATGTTTGACAGCTTTTTGTCACTACTTCAAAACACCTGAGATAAACACCTTAGAAAAGGCAAGTTTTATTTTGGCTCACAGTTCCAGAGTTTTCAGTCCATGGTTGACTGACTGCATTGGTCCTGAGGTGATACTGAACATCAGAGTGCAAGGGTGTGTCCCAGGAAAGCTGCTCAGCTTATACCAAACAGGAAACAGAGGCGGGGGGCTCATGGACAACATATTCTTCCAGAGCACACCTCCCTTGCTACCCGCCACTCCCCGCCTGTGACCTACATCCTCAACTCAGTTCCACCTTTTACAGTTTCCACTACCTCCTAATTATGTCATCAAATTATTAACACATCAATGGCTTACTCCATTGATGAGGTTAGGGCCCTCATAATCCAATCATTTTCCAAGAGCTCCATTCCGAACTTTGCTGCACTAGGGACCAAGCCTTCAACACATGAGCCTTTGGGTAACATTTCAGGTCCAAACCATAACAGGTACTTAACCCTCTTAAGCCATTCTGTTCCATAATGCCCGATGGAACAAATGCCATGTGGAACACCTATAAAAACTTAAATTGAGCAATGCATATGCCACTTATGTTAACAATATGTTTGAAACAATTCATGTTTTTAAAGGTATATTTGCTTAAGAAAACTAATAGGGAAATGAGTAAAACATTTGAAAAAATGTATTTTCATCCATATGAAACAAATATATATGATATATAAATTAAAACACCTATGTCAGTTTCATGGACATAGTCACAGAATGGAAAACTTGGAAATTAGTGGGTTAATTTTTCTTTAAATATTTCATGTGTTAGTCTTATTTCCATAATTAAGAAGAAGTATTTACAATATAGATATAGCATTGAATTGTGTAGAGCCACCTGAACATAGGGCCAGTCCAGTGGAAGGCAGAAGCAGCTTTAAACACCAGGTCCTCCAGTTACAAGCTATGAGTGTGGACAGAGGACTCAGCCTAAGTCATATTGCTCTCATCTGCTGCATAGGTCCACAGTAGCATTCACTGGCTCTGTGTTATGGAAATGTAAGTGAAGAGGTTTCAACTGAGCAGGACACTGGGCACATACACAGAGTGCAGTAAGCCTGGCTACTCTTCTCCCATGCTGCCCATCCTAGAGCCAGGCACAGGAACAGTGAATCTCTTCTGGACAGAAAGGACACATTCACTGTAAAGTCAGCTACCTTGTTGGTGATGAAGAGGAATGTCCTCTTTCATCTTTGGTGATCAATGAAGGTGACCATTCTTCCCAAAGAAAGGAAGGCTGATAGACTTTTGTCAGAGTTATGGAAGATGCTTCACTACCCAGTTAGAAATATACCAAGCAAATTTTCTAACTATTTGAATTAGAAAGCAAAATCACAAAAATCCCATTAAAAGTTTAAGGTCTTAATAGCTCTTCCCAGTTTGTAGATGTAGCTATAGATATGCCCCTTCATATCATTGAGATGAGGGTTTTCCTGGGTTCTTCTTTCAGTGATATAAGACATACTTCACCTTTTCTGGTTTGCGTTTCTGCCTAACCTTTCTTTGGATCCCATTGGTTCAGTTGTCCTGAGCTTTTGAAGCCAGTGTTCTGGCCCTTCCTTGAACCCCCTTCCTGTTCACCTCATCCTGCACATGTTCTTATTCTCTTTATTCTAAAGCCACACTGTTACAGTAGCACACCCAACTGTCAAACCCTGGGGCATGGTGTTTAGAGGAACCTGAAACTGTTGTGTCTGAGATTGGTGTGCTGCGACCTCTTTAGATTCTATAATTCTAGCAGTTAACTTTGGTGCTCTGTTCTTCATGGTAGATTTTATACCATGAAAGACAAAGACAAAGCACTAAATCAAGGTACTATGAAAACTACTGCATTATAGTGGAGCCACATTGATAATACTTTACACTTGTGCTTACAGCCTACTCAGCTGGTGGAATTTAATTAGCAGTAATATATTATTGTCAAAGTAATTAAAACCTTGCCTTGATTAAAAACAGAATTGTTTAATTAAAAAGGAAAGGTTTGGCTAACCTTAACTTTCCATTTGAGAAACACAGTAGCCTCAGCTGATAGTCTCTCTCTCTCTCCCCCATCAGGATTGAAGGTCCGGGAGGTGTTCATCAATGTCACCAGGCAGCAGGTAGAGGACTTCCACGGGCCAGAGGACTACTGGTGCCAGTGTGTGGCATGGAGCCACCTGGGTACCTCCAAGAGCAGGAAGGCCTCTGTGCGCATAGCCTGTAAGTATATTCTGTTTGACCTTGTCCTGTAGGAACATGGACAGGAGTTAAATAGAGCTCAGAGGGCTTTGGAGATATTACATGCTTCTACAGAATATAAATCAGGGGACACAAGAACCCATTGGAACTGTCTTTATCTCTTCTAAATTTACTGTTTTAAATTTGTATTTTAAATGTTTGATTATTTCCTCCAGAGGACAATCAGCAAAATCAGTTTGTCTAAGACATTCTGCCTCAATCGTCAGAATGCAGGTGTCTCAACAATGCCAGGAAAAACTCTTCCTGAGAGAAACCCACACAAATGGATTCTGCTGCTCGCCATCAATGACAAAGTTCAGAGGGCATTGATGGGAAAAGTTGAGCAATGACTGTTTACTGTGCTTTCCAGCAAATCTGCAAAGATAAGACATTAAAGACATTAAGGGATTTTTATAGCCTACTGTTAAATCTCTTCTCTCTGAATCTTAAAACATGGAAATGGGTCTTGAAACTGCATTTATTTGACCCAAGTAGGTCTAAAAAAAAGCAAAGAAAGAAAGAAAGAAAAATGCACACTTGAAAAATAATACATAAGAAAGAAAGAAAATATAATCTAAAAAAATAAAGATTTATAAATATGCAATCTTCTTTTCTCCTTGTTTAAAATGTCTTCAACCCACCCAGTCCCATTATCCCACCTCTTTGGATCCCCATAAACCAACACTGTTTGCCCAGTAATAGAAAAGCCCTTTCAGAAAGAAACTGGGCAGTGGAGGACAGAGATGATTGTTGTTCTATTCAAATGCGTCTTTTGAGAGTACTATAAAGAATACAGGACAAGAGGGATTTATCTGAGAACTCAAGGAATTCTTCATAACAGATGTTGATGGTTTAGAGATTAAGAAGAGGAGTGGATTGCTATTTGCAGAGACATTTACATGTCCTGGGAAATGAAAGCTTCCTCTTAAAAATAGGCATCACCTTCATTGTGCTGGCAATTTAGAAGGTCTCTCCTGGATGTTGCCTGGGCCACAGAGGAAAACTTTATTTTTTTAAATTTTATTTTCTCAGGGGAAAACTTTATTTTTGCTTACAAAAGGAAGAGAGGTCACCTCCTAATCTGCTTTCTAAGTGAGAACCATGGGGAATATTTTTCCTATAGTTATTTAGTTACTTGACTTTAGCCAACCAATATTTTATGGCCTTAAAGTAGCAGGCCAGCTGAGAGAAGGCATATGTTTGCATTTACTTTCCCATAACAAGTCCAAGTCTGAGCTCCCCCAACATGGTCTCAGTCAGGACAGCCAAGGCATTCAGTTTTAGTCAAGCCAAAGCAGATACTCACTGGGCTCTCTCCAAACAGAGGAGGTGAAGCAGCTTGAGGGGTTTCAACATAGGCTTCCTCAGTTTCTTTTTTTTTTTTTTTTTTTTTTTTTTTGGTGGTTTCATAGCTTTTATTTTTTTTTTTTATTTTTATTTTTTTTATTGTTGGTTGTTCAAAACATTACATAGTTCTTGATATATCATCTTTCACACTTTGCTTCAAGTGAGTTATGAACTCCCATTTTTAGCCCATATACAGATTGCAGAATCACATCAATTACACATCCATTGATTTACATATTGCCATACTAGTGTCTGTTGTGTTCTGCTGCCTTTCCTATCCTCTACTATCCCCCCTCCTCCCTCCCCTCCCCTCCCCACCCTTCTTCTCTCTCTACCCCCCCTATTGACCTTCATTTCTCCCCCTTGTATTATTTTTCCCTTTCCCCTCATTCCCTCTTGTATGTTCTTTTGTATAACCCTGAGGGTCTCCTTCCATTTCCATGCAATTTCCCTTTTCTCTCCCTTTCCCTCCCACCTCTCATCTCTGTTTAATGTTAATCTTCTTCTCATGCTCTTCGTCCCTACTCTGTTCTTAGTTACTCTCCTTATATCAAAGGAGACATTTGGCATTTGCTTTTTAGGGATTGGCTAGCTTCACTTAGCATAATCTGCTCTAGTGCCATCCATTTCCCTGCAAATTCTATGATTTTGTCATTTTTTAATGCAGAGTAATACTCCATTGTGTATAAATGCCACAATTTTTTAATCCATTCGTCTATTGAAGGGCATCTGGGTTGGTTCCAAAGTCTTGCTATTGTGAATTGAGCTGCTATGAACATCGATGTAGCAGTGTCCCTGTAGCATGCTCTTTTTAGGTCTTTAGGGAATAGACCAAGAAGGGGAATAGCTGGGTCAAATGGTGGCTCCATTCCCAGCTTTCCAAGAAATCTCCATACTGCTTTCCAAATTGGCTGCACCAATTTGCAGTCCCACCAGCAATGTACAAGTGTACCCTTTTCCCCACATCCTCGCCAGCACTTGTTGTTGTTTGACTTCATGATGGCTGCCAATCTTACTGGAGTGAGATGGTATCTTAGGGTGGTTTTGATTTGCATTTCTCTGACTGCTAGAGATGGTGAGCATTTTTTCATGTACTTGTTGATTGATTGTATGTCCTCCTCTGAGAAGTGTCTGTTCAGGTCCTTGGCCCATTTGTTGATTGGGTTGTTTGTTCTCTTATTGTCTAATTTTTGGAGTTCTTTGTATACTCTGGATATTAGGGCTCTGTCTGAAGTGTGAGGAGTAAAGATTTGTTCCCAGGATGTAGGCTCTCTATTTACCTCTCTTATTGTTTCTTTTGCTGAGAAAAAACTTTTTAGTTTGAGTAAGTCCCATTTGTTGATTCTAGTTATTAACTTTTGTGCTATGGGTGTCCTATTGAGGAATTTGGAGCCAGACCCCACAGTATGTAGATCGTAGCCAACTTTTTCTTCTATCAGACGGCGTGTCTCTGATTTGATATCAAGCTCCTTGATCCATTTTGAATTAACTTTTGTGCATGGCGAGAGAAAGGGATTCAGTTTCATTTTGTTGCATATGGATTTCCAGTTTTCCCAGCACCATTTGTTGAAGATGCTATCCTTCCTCCATTGCATGCTTTTAGCCCCTTTATCAAATATAAGATAGTTGTAGTTTTGTGGATTGGTTTCTGTGTCCTCTATTCTGTACCATTGGTCCACCCGCCTGTTTTGGTACCAGTACCATGCTGTTTTTGTTACTATTGCTCTGTAGTATAGTTTGAAGTCTGGTATCGCTATACCGCCTGATTCACACTTCCTGCTTAGCATTGTTTTTGCTATTCTAGGTCTTTTATTTTTCCATATGAATTTCATGATTGCTTTCTCTATTTCTACAAGAAATGCCTTTGGGATTTTGATTGGCATTGCATTAAACCTATAGAGAACTTTTGGTAATATCGCCATTTTGATGATGTTAGTTCTGCCTATCCATGAACAGGGTATATTTTTCCATCTTCTAAGATCTTCTTCTATTTCTCTCTTTAGGGTTCTGTAGTTTTCATTGTATAAGTCTTTCACCTCTTTTGTTAGGTTGATTCCCAAGTATTTTATTTTTTTTGAAGATATTTTGAATGGAGTGGTTGTCCTCACTTCCATTTCAGAGGATTTGTCGCTGATATACAGGAATGCCTTTGATTTATGCGTGTTGATTTTATATCCTGCCACTTTGCTGAATTCATTTATTAGCTCTAATAGTTTCTTTGTAGAGCCTTTTGGGTCTGCTAGGTATAGAATCATATCATCTGCAAATAGTGATAATTTAAGTTCTTCTTTTCCTATTTTTATGCCTTTAATTTCTTTCGTCTGTCTAATTGCTGTGGCCAGTGTTTCGAGAACTATGTTGAACAGAAGTGGTGAGAGAGGGCATCCCTGTCTTGTTCCAGATTTTAGAGGGAATGCCTTCAATTTTTCTCCATTCAGAGTGATGCTAGCCTGAGGCTTAGCATAGATTGCTTTTACAATATTGAGGTATGTTCCTGTTATCCCTAGTTTTTCTAGAGTTTTGAACATAAAGGGATGCTGTACTTTGTCGAATGCTTTTTCCGCATCTATCGAGATGATCATATGGTTCTTATTTTTAAGTCTATTGATGTGGTGAATAACATTTATTGATTTCCGTATATTGAACCAGCCTTGCATCCCAGGGATGAATCCTACTTGATCATGGTGCACAATTTTTTTGATATGTTTTTGTATCCGATTCGCCAGAATTTTATTGAGGATTTTTGCATCTAGGTTCATTAGAGATATTGGTCTGAAGTTTTCTTTCTTTGAAGTGTCTTTGTCTGGTTTAGGTATCAGGGTGATGTTGGCCTCGTAGAATGAATTTGGAAGTTCTCCCTCTTTTTCTATTTCCTGAAGTAGCTTGAAAAGTATTGGTATTAGTTCCTCTTTAAAGGTTTTGTAAAATTCTGCTGTATACCCATCCGGTCCTGGGCTTTTCTTAGTTGGTAGTCTTTTGATGGTTTCTTCTATTTCCTTGATTGATATTGGTCTGTTTAGGTTGTCTATATCCTCCTGACTCAATCTGGGCAGATCATATGACTTCAGAAATTTATCGATGCCTTCACTATCTTCTAATTTATTGGAGTATAAGGATTCAAAATAATTTTTGATTATCTTCTGTATTTCTGAAGTGTCTGTTGTGATATTGCCTTTTTCATCCCGTATGCTAGTAATTTGAGTTCTCTCTCTTCTTCTCTTCGCTAGCATCGCTAAGGGTCTGTCGATTTTGTTTATTTTTTCAAAGAACCAACTTTTAGTTTTGTCAATTTTTTCAATTGTTTCTTTTGTTTCGATTTCATTAATTTCAGCTCTGATTTTAATTATTTCTTGCCTTCTACTTCTTTTGCTGTTGTTTTGCTCTTCTTTTTCTAGGATTTTGAGATGAAGCATGAGATCATTTATTTGTTGGTTTTTTCTTTTTTTAAGGAATGAACTCCAAGCAATGAATTTTCCTCTTAGAACTGCTTTCAATGTGTCCCACAGATTCCGATATGTTGTGTCTGTGTTTTCATTAATCTCTAAGAATTTTTTAATTTCCTCCTTGATGTCTTCTATAACCCATTGATCATTCAGTAACCTATTGTTCATTCTCCAAGTGATGTATGCTTTTTC